AATGTTTAATGCCTTCAAAATACGATACAACGCAAATTCAAAGTGCATGAAAATGACGACTCACCACAGTCCCGAGCTTGATTTTCTGCAATCAGACAGTCCCATCTCGGGGTAATGACACCTTAAGTGTGTGGTTTATGTCGAGTCTACTTCGTAATTTTGTTTTAGTCGCCGTTGCTGCAGAAACTCCGCACCTCACACAGGTAGGATGCCGGAAATAGCAACAGTGCTATTGTGGCGATCTCAGAGTATTCAGCCATAACTTTGATCCAGTTGTTTCGAACGTACTTTTAAGGCCGCCGTCATTTGCGATCTCCAAGCAGCTTTTTTACTCATTTTGCGGGCTTCAGCCTTTTGTTTATGAGCGTCATCGGTCACCTGACCGAGAAGTGTGCCTTGACGTGAGTCAAGCGTGACACAGACGGATGTAACAGAGAATCCGGTAATTTTTCAAAATAAAACATTTCGCAATCCGAAATTAATAAAACGGAAAAAAGGCAAGTTCTTTCTGTGCGGCCCGGTACCAAATGCCCTGCGGACCGGTACCGGTCCGCGGCCCGGCGGTTGGGGACCCCTGGATTAGGGCATGTACATGGAAAACGCGTCTCGACTTACAAAATGATCTAGTTAAGAAATTTCTTCCAAAACATATTAACTTCATAAGTTGAGGTACCGCTCTATTAAAATTTTGACATTGTGAGGCCAAGTCAACAATGAAATATTACGCGGCAGTTCATTGACATTGAATTGACCACTGAGTGTCATTAACTTTCATCAGCAACAAATGTGCAGAGAGACTGAAAGAGTCACTGAAAGGAACAGTTAAAAAAATGTTTTGGTCAATTCCTGATTGAAACGTCTGTTGCCATTTATTTATTTATTGTCTTTTTGCTGTCTTTCACATTTAATGCAGTCTCTCGAGGTTCCCGATGGCCGCCGGGCGCCCTTCCCTCCCCAGCAGCGCAGCAGCAGCAGCTCCAGAGGCACTGACGCCCAAATCCCCTCGGCCCCCGGGCGGTCCAGCAGTTGCTCCAGCCTGTCACCCTGCCCCTCACCTGCCTGTCCATCAGAATCACATGACAGCAGTCCTTACTCCACAGAGGATTTACTCGATGATCCCGATAAAGGTTGAAAACTTTTTTCTTTTTTAAATGACTCCGATAGGAATGAGTAAGAGTGTTGCGTGTGGGAATTTTTCGGTTACATGTTGGGCCCTTCAGATTAATTGCGTCTGGTCTGCCGCGGTACAGCCTGCCAAGTTTCTTAATAACTGTGTAAAAAAAAGAAAAAGAAAAGAAGAGAAAAAAGTTTTTATTTGGTTTCAAATTCTAATTTGACTTTGAAAAAGTTGAAACATTTTTATTAATGCGTAATCAGTGAAAAAATTAAAAATCCTGACGAATTAACACTCAACACCAAAAAAGGTTTATATATATATATAGTATATCGGCCCTGTAATGTGAATTCAGAGAATTTTTTAAATGTTTAAATTGCTAAACACGTGCAAAGACAAAAATGATGTAGTACGGTACTGAATTGTTGAGATGTAGCGTTAAGGTCTTTTTTTTTCTTCATCATTGCAGTTGTCGGGAATTTTTTTTTCGGTGTAATTGCGAGTTACTTTACCCATTGCCCATCTTGCTATTTTAATGGGGATTTAATTCACTTTAATAGTCCATATAGTCGTTATAAATTTGTCTTTATATGTCCAGACAGTGAAAGCAGCTCGCCACTCCCCAAATTCGCCTCCTCACCCAAACCCAACAACAGCTACATGTTCAAGCGAGAGCCGCCTGAAGGTTGTGAGAAGATTAAAGCCTTTGAGGAGATGAGGTCTGCTACTTGCGCTCTGAATCTTAAAACCCACATACAGTCTAACGTTCCCCAGTGACATTGCACTCGCTTGTATTTCAGCTCCAGGCAGTCCACATCAGCATCAGTTCCTCTCTTTTCCTGTCCCGACAAAAACAAAGTCAACTTCATTCCAACCGGCTCCGCATTCTGCCCCGTTAAACTCCCGGGCTCCCTCCACCTCATGTCAGCCGTCCAGTCCGAAGAGCACGAGGACGGGACAGAAACAACGCTGCACGGGGCCCCCGCTGAAGCCTCGACAAGCACCGCCACGGAGGATCCTCCAGAGGTGCCCGGCTTACCCACAGAGACTGCAGATCTGCAGATAGACAGTCCGGCCATCAGCTAGAACTGAGCAGAGCTGGTCTCTAGCTCTGGGTTTTACCTTTGTCATGTATGACCAGTGACTCTCCCAAAACACCCTCTTCTGCTCTGCCAGAGGGGAGCCTCAGTAATCTCTGCGCTGACACCTCCGACCCCTCTACTATCTCTGCATGATGTACAATCCGTCTCCGGACACCAATAACCACTTTGACCAACAAGACTGACACCTCAATGTTCTGCCCTGTATTACTACCCCACCTCCGCTTCTGGCAAGGAAAGTCGTAATTTGTAATGTGCAGGAAACATAGGGAAGAATGGAGCACTAATGGAAGGGACACGCATTTTAAACCGATAGTATATTTCTTATTAAATTATGTATTGTGTTTTGTTTCAAACATTTGCAGATTGAATAAGCTCTTTATGGATGTAAATGTGTGCGTGTGTGAGACCCTCAGGCACAAAACTGTGTTTTGAGCAGGAGCCCAATAAGCGTTGACTGAAAATGACCAATTTTCAGATTTGTGATTTAAACACGAGAAAAAGAAGTAAAGGTCACTTGCCAATTGGAATCTGTGAATTTCTTCCCTTAAAAAAATAAATAAAATAAGACATTTTTAAAGTGCTTTATTGAGAGGTGACAGCGACATCTCCAACACAAAAGTCTGAAAATCAATTTAACTAATCAGACCCTGCTGCACACAAAACTAGGGAAGCCACTTCTGTAGCCCCAGGTATCGTTGAATTCAACATCATTACACATCTGAACCAATAAGAGGTCGGAATATAATCCATCGTGGTGTAAACCAGGGGTCGGCAACCCAAAATGTTGAAAGAGCCATATAGGACAAAAAAAACAAAAAACAAATATGTCTGGAGCCGCAAAAAAATATAAGCCTTAAATAAAATTTACAATGAAGGAAACACATGCTCTATGTATGTAGGAGACTGGACTGTCTCCGAATTGTTTGTTTTTCATTCCTTTGTTGTGTGTTCACAAACGCCCGCATAGAATTTATTTTGTGATTTCCTCACTTGATTTTTTTGTTTTGGTGTATTATTTTCGCTTTTCTTAGTGTCAGTGAAGTGATCATTAATTTCCGTTTTTCGGAGGCTGTCCTGAACGCCTCTCGAGTCGAACGAGAAGAGAAAAGGCACGGAGTCGGACGCAGACGTGTCTGTTTGTCGAGACTGTTAAAAGCATAAATAAAGTGTATGTTTTAAAAAAACCAACACCACAGCTCTCCTTTTTCGGAGCTGCAACATGTATCTATATCTGATACATATATATTTGAGCTATATTAGCCTACTATCAAAATCTTTTTCCATTTTCAAACATGTTTTATAAAGCTCCAGGGAGCCACTAGATGTCGCTAAATAGCCGCATGCGGCTCTGGAGCCGCGTGTTGCCGACCCCCGGTGTAAACAAAGCATCTTTGTTGTTCAGCTATAGCGCTGAAAGTCTGCTTCTGATTGGTCAGACTTCATTTGCGCATACTCAAGTTTGCAATTCATTCAACTTGGATCATGATTTTTCGCATTTAAGCAACTTAATTCCTGACCTTCAAACTAACACACGTTATCTTCACCAAATATAACCCGATTTCCTTAACCTGTACATGATATATATATAAATTTCAAACTCAAGTTTGAAAAAAGACTTTTTGAACACCAAATTAATTTTCATACAGAAAATAATTACAGTACATCTGAAACAAATGATTATAACAATATATTTGAGAGAAAAAGCATGTTATTTTGCCTCATTCAAATCTTAATATCCGAACATTTAAATATGGAAACTATTATTTTCTTCTCTTTTCTTTCTTACTGCTATTTTTTTATTTTTCTTCTTCATGCTACCGCTATTTTTATTTTTATTCTTTGTGACAGGGGTTTGCTTTGGCCTGGGGAGTCAAGTTCAGCATTCACTTAAATGATATCTGGCACCATCTAGCGTCGTGAATGGGTAAAATGTCTAGACCCCAAATATAAGACGACCCTTATTTCAATGCAAAAAACACCGTCTTATATTCAGGCCATATATATACATACATGGCAATTTTCCGCGGATCCGCGGAAATCCGCCGTTTTATTTCTTAAATTGATCATTTTTGTGAATCGTCTAAATCGGTTGAGAAAAATTTAGGGGCGGTCAGATACCTTATCGTCGAGTTTTCACGAGCTCTCCCGAACAGTCTCTCCGTTTTCCGTTTGTAAACAGCCCTGCGATTGGACGTGTATGAAAGCTTCAACTAATCAGATCA